CTGCCACACTGTACAGCCAGGCACTGAGACCCTAATTACCTGGTTCACTATCATTATATGTCCCCAGTCTGCTTATTTGACAAAGATGTAGCATCAGTACCTTTGTTCAATAAGTGGGGAAGTGTTAAAAAGCAGTAAAGTAAAATTATCTTTCTGACTGTGCAGTGTGGCAGATGAGAACCACAAAACTGTAAAGAATTACGAATTGTTTGGCAGGTAAAAGAGTAATTGCATATGTATTTCAATTTCATTTTTGGCTGTTTGCTTGGAGTATCCACTTTAAAGCATAACTCTGGAAAGCAAAAACAGTTCCTACTGTGCCTGCCTCAGTCCAAGTCTCTAAAACCTATAGAACCTTACCTGAATCCATTTCACATAATAATCCACAGGGCCTCCTCCATGAGTGATGTCTGTTGTCACTTTCAATGAATCAACCAACTCATTTTGTGCCTGCCCCTCATGGGACATCACTCCCGAAGGCTTGGAGATCCTGTGATGGACTCTGGCAGCCAATGGGCAGTGCCCATGCCACCAAAAATCAAAGCGGGCACTGCATTCTGCACCCTTCTACAATAAAAAATAATGAATTATTATGTGGACCCTTCCACATAGTAATCCAGAGGGCTTCCTCCATTAGTGATGTTCATTGTTAATTTCAATTAATCAGCCAACCAGTCTTAGGTCTGCCCCTCATGTGACGTCACTCCTGAAGGCTTGGAGACCCTGTGATGGACTCTGGCAGTCAATGGGCAGTGCCCATGCCACCAAAAAGCAAAGCGGGCACTGCATTCTGCACCCTCCTACAATAAAAAATAATGAATTATTATGTGGACCCTTCCACATATTAATCCAGAGGGCCTCCTGCATTAGTGATGTTCATTGTTAATTTCAATTAATCAGCCAACCAGTCTTAGGTCTGCCCCTCATGTGATGTCACTCCTGAAGTCATGGAAACCTTGTGATGGACTGCACCGACAGCCAATGGGCAGTGCCCATGTCACCAGAAAGCGCAGAGGGCACTATATTCTGGATCCTTCCACAATTAAGACCAAAATTAGAGAAGCATTGGGATCCAGCCAGCCACGTGACGTGAGTGTTAGGTAATTGAAGCTTTTAAATTTCATACAGTTCCTGATGAACTAGCTGAATTTCGCTGCATGGGTGGCCCTGTCGACACCCTTTCACCCAATATCCTTTGATTGAAAAATCAAAGAAGCCAGGCAGAAAATTGTCGGCTGAACAGTGGCTGCCTAGAATTAGATTGAGTCAGTGTTCAGGTATTTTGACAGCTGGCTGTAAGAATACAATAGTGGCGATTTATCCATGTGTGCTGTATAGTATGGGTGGAGGAATCTGCTGTATGGCTAGCCTTATAGATTTAGAAAAATAAAAATATAGTTTAGGTGTAGTGGGAAAGAAAGATCAGTTTTAAGTATAGGTTGTTAACTGTAAATTGTGATAGGCTGTCTTCTGAGAAACACTTACAAATGAAAATGCTTTCCTGGCAAAGTCTAACCATAATCATAACTTCATCTGAATGTCCAAATATAACAGATAGAAAGTAACTTCCTTTAAAGGACATGTTCCTACAAGAGGACTGTCTTACATGAAAAAAGGCAGACTTCACCTTCCCTAATCCGGCATTAACAAGAGACATTTATATTTCACACACAGACAGATGTGGTTTAAGTTCTGGCACCAGTGCTGTGTGCTGGAGGACTTCAGAGAACTGTGACCTATGTTTTGATTCACCAGACTCTTCATTGTGTCTGAGAAGGAAGCAGTTTGTGCTAAAGCATATGTTATAACTGATAGATGCAATGATTGCATGATTATGTGCAACGTCTTTCCGCAACAGCACAGGAAACCTTTGCTATGGAATAGCCTTTATCTTGTTTACACAGGGAAAACTCTAATAAAAAATAATGAGCAGATGATTTCACAATTTTTATAATATTGCACAATTAAAGCTGAACTCCAAGAATCATTTGGAATGCATAATTGCCATAATTGGCACAATGTTGCATGCTTATCTCATAAATGATGGACCGCAGGGGAAGCTTGAAATCCCTGTGGTAGTCATCGCTACTACAGTGATAGCCGTGATCTTCTAGGTCCTGTGGCTTCCCCACTCAACACAGACCGCATGGGGTTGCTAGCTCAGCACTGCCACCATTTATAGAATGAGCTGTATTTTTCACAGTGAATACAAGGCATTCTCTGAGTGGATGAGGTAGGGAGAAAAAAGTGGTGATGTCACAATCTCCACCTCATATCCAATCAGAAAACACCTTATAGTCACTGAAAAAAGTCAGTGCCAAATAAGTGGCCCCTGTTATCACTATGCAGAGGGAAAGCTGCTTGACACCGTACCCGGGAGATCGCAGATATTACTGCAGTAGCAACAACTACTAAAGGGATTGTCCACTTCCCCAGCCAGCCCCCAGATATATAGTAATCATCTGTGCCATTCGTAGAATGCCTTCTAATTTTTACAATGAATACAAGGCATTCTCTGATTAGATGAGCAGGAGAGGAAGAGTGGTGATGTCACAATCTCCATCTCATCCAATCAGAAAATTACTTTGTTCATTGAAAAATATACAAGGCATTTCATGAATGGTGATGGTGCCAAACGAGCAACTCCCTGTAATCAGTGTTCAGAGGGGAAACTGCTCATACAGGAACAGAAAGATTGTGTCTTTTACTGTGGTAATGAAAACTACTATAGGGATTTCCTTCTCCCTCTGTGGTCCACCAGATATGATATGTATACATACTTACATTGTGTCAAGATGGACCAATGTAAGCATGCAATCCCAATTATTCATGGAGTCTACCTTTAAAGTCCAACTCTGGGCAGATAGAAAAAGATCCCTTGCAGTAGGGCTGCAAGGATTTATTGCTCACTTTGTATAGGGGAGAGTTTTACGAAGGGCCAGTTCACACCACCTGCAGTCCAGTGCGATTTTTTTTCTGCATCAAATACGCATATAAATTAGGTTACATGGTTTCCAGTGGCATAGTTCACACCAGTTCGGTCAGTTCCAGAAAACAAAGTAGAACATGCTGCATTTTTCCTGCACTGGACTGTACTGGAACGCAGTAAAATGCAGTTTTACTCTGCTTCCCTGGCAATAATTGCTTCCCCATGCTCTAGCGTTGAACTGTCCCTCACATCTAGAACAAGGCTATGGACCCTGATCTGGTTTTGATGTTGTCAGGACCCTAGACAGATGGAGCATGGGGATGTAGAAGCTGCAGGGAGGCGGGAGAAAGTTAAGTAAATCTCCTTTTATTGTTCTCCTAGGCATAAACAAGCAATTAACCCTTGTAGTGTGCCCCCCCCCCCCCCAAGAGATAATTATTTACTTGCTTGGAGTTGGGCTTTAATAAAATCTTGGCTTTGACTATAATATTTTTTCGAGTACAGTATTTGATCATTTAGATTGTGGTTACAGCAGCTTTTTAGTTTGTGCCTCTTTAAGGTAAAAAATGAACTGTGCTTCTCAGTGTGTATCTGAGAAATGTGCTACTTTATAGAGAGTTGGGAATTACACTGCTGAGCAAGCCAACTACAGGAACCTCTAATCTGCAAATACATTTTTTTTCGAACTTGAATTGCAGTCATAAAATTAATATGCAATACAATAAATATTTTACTAACAATATATACTTTATGGGTGTTCTAAATATGACTGCGCAGTCTAAGGACTAATTCACGCAGAACAGACAGCTGCCAGAGAAGTAAACCACAACAATTTCCTCTCTGGTAGCTGTCCTTTCTGGCTGCAGTAGGAGGGGCGGTGCATGATTCAGCAAATAATAAAGCTCCCTCTTTTCAATGAACTTTATTTGAACACGTGATTCACGTAACTGTACAGTAGCATACTGCGCTGCTGTACAGTGACATGAAATCTTGTAAGGTGTGCTGCGATAAAGTGCTGTATGTCTGCATTTTATCGCAGCTCGCTACAGCACAGCTCCAGGTTGCATTGCAGTGTGAATGGAACAATTGTTTTCTGTGTGTCCTTGTGGTGACTGACACTTTACAAGCCCGTAAATTGCTGGTCACTGCACAGTGTGAATTCAGCCTAATAGGCACCAGAGTTAGACACAGTGCACTCATGATCAGCACCGACCTCTTCCTTTTCATAATACAGGTCTGTGTGAGAAAGAATATAAACAGGGGTATGGGTGTTACTCAGCTATGGCTTTTCCAAGAAAACAAAATCGCTCAAATTGGGGAAAAGAACTATAAAGAAATAAAAAATTGTGGGGCTTCAATTGGGCTTTAAATATTTTAATGCTGTCTAGGAGGGGAGCTTCCTCTCGCATTGGGGAGTTTTCCCCTTACTTCCTTTTGTGCCTCTGGAACAGAAAGTTAAGGGAAATCTTTTCTTTTTTTTAATTCTTTATTTTTAATTTTTTACAGGCAACCAATAAGTGTGGGACATAAACAGCTGTAACATTGTGTAAGGGAGGGGGCATAAAAGAACAACTATTTATGAGTTGCTGCTTCCCTCAACCCATGTATAGAGGTGCATTTTGGCGTGTGCATGAACTCATAGGCTAACACGGAGGGGAGTTTAGAGGCAGAAAAAAAGAGTTTAAACGCTTCTTTTACAGCTTTTTTGAGCTCAAGTGTGCATGAGGCCTCATACTATCCAAAATACTGCACAACCTTGTATATCAATAAATACACACTGGAATTCATAAATAGGGTTGTAGACACACTTTGAAAATGTGACGCACAACAACTGTCAGTGTGCCTGTTGGAAACAGGTTTGTGAATTTTTTGCAAGGAGGCATAGGGGGTGGGGGGAAGGAGGCAGCACTGAAGCCAAAGATTCCATACTGGACTTAAAAGCATGTTCAGACCCAGGGCTGCACAGCTTTCTTGGTAGCTTAAAACGGAGCTCCACCCAAAAGGGGAAGTTCCACTTTAAAGACTGGTCCCCCACTCCCCATTAAGGATTGGCACCTTTGGGGAGTGGTACTCGAATTTGACAGGTACCCACTCCCACTTCCGCTGCGATCACCTTGGCGATTGGAAGCGGAAGTTGTACTCCCTCCCTCCCCGTAGTCTTGTGGGACACGTGACAGGTCCCAGAAGACTATGGGGCCATTCAGGAAGCGCAGCACTACTCGTATATGCGCAGTGAGCACCCGGCTGTAAAGCCACAATCTGTCACAGCCGGGTGCCCACACTGAAGATGCCGACACCTGGAACACCAGACAGCTTGAGAAACGGGCTATGGGGAGGGCACTCATGGGACCAAGGGACAGGTGAGTGGCTGTTTTTTAAAATTCCAGCTACAGTTTTTGTAGCTGCTGACTTTTATTTTTTGACTAGGTGAGTGGAACTCCGGTTTAACATTACCTTCTTCCCAGGTTGACAATACTGCTACACCAGGGTCCCTCCATTGCTCTTCCATCCAGAGTGGAGACACTCTAAGACAGTGACAGTATTGCTGGCCAGATCACCAGGCCAGATGAAAATGAAAAGAGATCATCCTAAATGAGAACTATTGCAGCCACCATATTGGTAAGTGTCAATATACAATTTTTTGGTTTTGGCTTTTATACCGATTTAAGCCTCTCAGAGCAGCAACTGACTGGCATTCTCTGTGCAAACTAATTTTATCACTATGAATATCATTTGGAGGCGTGAAGCACAGTATGTACTACATTGCGTGTGGTAATTTTTTTTCCCATTTCCATCTCTTCACACCCATCTCTGACTTCATCTGGCCCAAGTGACAATTATCTTCAGAGCTCCAACCTCTTTTGTGACACAACAAGGCCATGTGGCTCTGTCACATTGCAGACTGGTAGACCTCTCCTAAAAAATGAAGCATTGCATGTCTATGTGTTCATTTATGTGGTAGCAGAACAATTAAAAGGCTCATTTTAAGATGCTGAAATGTTATTTTGGCATTTTGTAATTACAGAGATTTCTCAGAGAGGCATATCCATAAATAGTAATTATTTAGAATTCTGCCTCTCTGTGCCTTTTTCCAGGCTTTGCTGTAAAAAAAAAATGTTATAGTTTAGCTACATCTTCTTTCAGAATGCTCTTCTTTGCTACAAAGGCTTTTGCGAACAAAAAATAATTACAAGCATCCTGGAGGCTCCGGACAAAGGCTTTCATCTGTCATCTTAGAGTTCAAAGCCTTTTTCTGTCTGCCTTCTTTTCAAAGTCATTTGGATTTTTCTGCTTGTTGTGAAGACTGAATGAAGTGTTGATGGCCTTGGTAGCCTTGGTCTTGATGTAGAGGTGTTAGAAGAAGCCTTGAAGTATCAGATTTTCCCGGGGTATTGCGAAATATGCTAGACAAACATTGATGTACAGAATTCTTCGATGGTTTTTCACATTAGTATAACAAACCCATGTTCTGTTTCTTGGATAGATGTAACTAAATGGATAGCAAGGTTTACTGCTGTAGACAAGTATCATATACTGTATATCCAGTATGGTAACTTCCTGATGATGCGCAAAATGCATTAAGGCTTGAGTCGCTAACGTCATTTCCAGTCTCCACCCCTACGTCATATCTGGTCTATGAAACGCACGCTGGCTCTGAACATACGAGTGTCGGTGTGTGTGGACTGGATCCCCCTAGGGTGCTGTTTGTGTTGGTGCCCCCTCTTTTTTTACGTGTGAGTGCATAGTGAGCTTTACTTTTTATTCTCCTCATTTTTAATAAAATACTGCACTATGTTACATTGTTTTTGGACTTTTTCCTTATTTATCCTTGAGCTGATGAGGATCTTCCATCATAATATTCATGTGTGGAGTGCTTTGGTATCCTATGAAGAAAAGATAATTCTTCAGACAGGATTTTTTCCATACTGATCGCTGGCTGGTTTTGTGGTGATTTATATTGTAAAGCGCTGAGCAAACTGTTGTCGCTATATAAATCCTCTATTATAATAATAATAAATTTGGTGAGTTGACATTTCAGCTTATCACTTGGTGGAGCACAGTTGGGTTATTTTCTGAAGAAGAACTGGCCACCTTCAACCATTTTTCTTTCACAAGATTTTGGTGATTTTGGACTTTTTCTCTAATTTAGATGTGGACATTTTATATGTTGGGATATAATTTTATATGGCACTTATTATTAATATAATTAACAGTATGTGATACTTACTGTAAGGTTTTATATACAACACAAAAATATTTTTTTGGGCACATACATTTGTTACACATAGATTTAAAGGGATAGTGCCTTCTTTTTTTACATAAAATTATTTTATAGTGTATAAGTGTTGGGTACACTTAAAAGGGGCAGCTAGCTTCATACACATTCCTTTCAAGTGTGGTTACACTGTCACATTTATTTTAGCACACGTTATGGGTTGGCGCTTTCACATTTGATTCATATTCTTGGATAGATGTTACTGAATGGATAGCAGGGTCTACTGCTGTAGACAAGTATCATACTGTATATCCAGTAGGTACCCACTGGTATACTGCCAATGCAGTAAATATGGAATTTGCTATGTTGAACAATGAATGAATGTTTTCTGACTAGCTTTGTGTGTGAGCCGTTTCAGCTTTATAGTATTTTTTTTTTTTAGTGTAACTATAACAAATAAAGAAAAACATATATAATCTTAAAGTGAAATCCATCTTTTGGTATACTTTACATAGTTTGTTTAGGCTAAGCTGGCCCAAATGAACTATGTCCCTCATTAACATTTGAGGCTGCTGGATGTGCTGTATAAACTTTGTAGCTGAGGTTACATACAGCGCTGTGTTATGGGTGCGAGCCGAGACCTTCCTGTCTCAGACCCACAACATAATAGAGTCTGTCTGAGCAGGGCTCAGCCACTCATAGAAAGCAATGTATTCTATAAATGAATACAAAACTTCCTTTGATTGGCTGAATAAGAGAGGTGGGTTGATGGTGTCACAACCTCTGACTCAGCCAATTACAGAAAGCTTTGTATTCACTGATACATTGAAATAGTGTGTGTGTGTGGGGGGAGGGCAGAAAGGTTGGGGGGGGGCTTTTCAGAATTCCGCAGAGTGTGAAAACCAGGGAGGTTGACTCAACAGACCACTTTAAGGATTAGAAATTGTTCACTCAGCAAAGTGAACACTCACTTTGCAAAGTAAATGGACACTGAGCTTAGTAAATAAGGCAAGTCACGTGTCATGTACAAAGGAAATTTTAATAAAACTGATTTTTTTTGTTTGGGTAATGGGTTGACTGAGAAAACCACAGCTTTACTGTATATATTAACTGTGTGAAGTGAACAGGCTCTGTTCTTCAGCAATCATCCTCAAGCAATCAATATACAGGAGTATTAAATTGTCTGCATTGTCAAAACTTTTTTTATTGTTGCCAGGTACAGAGACGCTGGCATGGCTGAGCTCAGTATACAGACACTGCCTCTGTATTATTCTGATTTTTTACAAGGAGCCAACAAGGATTGTGTTCCTGAGGACTGCAGACTGAGAATCGTCCATTACAAGGTTTGCTGTGCACCAGGATTGGTGAGTGGATTCAGCTGTGTTTACTTTACTGTTAACAATTAAGTACAACAGGAGACTGCCCCTTTCTTCCCCAGCAGCCCCAAAGCAAATCACTGCATGCAGCCTTAAAGAGGGGGTAATCCGTGCACCACCATACAGACTGAGCCCCACCATTAGCAGACTGAAGTGTACAAGACATATGCCAGGCACTGTGTAACCTCCTCTCAGGGGAACTTCTTTCTGGCACAATAAACACATACCTATACTTGGCAAGATATAAACAGAGTGAACTTTGGGACACTGTCTGATCAATTGTTGCAAAAAGATGCTGTAAGTTTGTTGCTGTTTTTGCTGTTCATGTATTTATACAGGTCACTGTTTACACTGCATTTACCAGTGCTGCTGATATTAGATTTTGCTTAGTACCACTGTGATCTGTATTATCTGCCATGTTATAGCCTGATATTTTTTGTTAGTTCATTACATTCAAATGGTTTCAAATAATGTTTATTGCTTTTGTGCACTGCCATTGATTTTGCATTGCACAATTTTACTTACTGTATTTACAAGCAGTCAGGTGTTTATTTCTATATGTTATTACAGTGGTGGTAGGATACTAATGCTTAAGCTTATACAGGTGTCTGAAGCATCCTACTACCTAATGAGGTGTGTCAGAGAGGACGGCGCAGTTCAGAGTCAAAGTAGAACAGAGAATCGGTCATACCAAGCTGCTCCTTTGGGTGTATGTGCTACATGATGCTTTGGCTAGAGTGGGGATGGATTAGAACCCCTGTTGGTTTTGTATGCTATCTGAGACTCCATTAGGGCTCCTTCAGATGCGTGATAATGCTTATTATCCTCTGGAAAGCAATCTGCGGTGGAACACTTTTTACAGGGCAGTACAGTAGTGGCTGGCAGGCATTCAGGAGGCACTACCTGTGACTCCTGATGCCTGTTTTTTGTCTTTTTTAACTTTTTGTTTTTTAAATATTAGTTTGCAAGACCACTCCACAACTGCGAGCCAAACATTTGCCTCATGGTTGTGGTGCGGCCCCACTGAATTCAATATGCTAGTCGGACAGGCTGTTAACCTGTCAAACTCTGCAGCCTGAGTTAAAATTGTCCCATCCACGGCATTTGTACAGCCCTGTCAGGCTGAAATATTAAAATTCCTGTGAGCAAGCAAAGGGACTATAACACTGCAGCTCAACCCCCTTTTTTACTGCCCCCCAACTTCCAGTGTGAAAGAGCCCTTAGAGAGATTTCCCTAGACTTCCTATCACAGGGTCTAGACCCTGCACCAACATGAAGTGAGTAATGGAAGATCTCCAGCCCCAACACATGCAGAAATAACATGTTTTGCCTGGAGTTACACTTTAGAGAAAAATCTATTTGCAGCTAAAAAGCTATTATCTGAAAGTGAATGTTGTGGCATGTAAAAAGAATATGTTTGTGTCCAGATCTGTGTTTAAAGTCGAGTACAGTGTGCTAAAATGCAGAATCTGTCATCGCTGTGTTTTGAAATTTTAGATACACATAGCTGTCTGCTGAGTGTCTCCAGTGCTGGAAATATTCCCAGTGTGTCTTGCAGAGCTGTCTAAACTGCATGTGCATTTAACCCTTAGTGCACTCACAATGTCAGCGTTTGGTTGAACAAACACGCATTGCCTGCCAACATTCAGAAGTTTTGTGGCACTGACCGTTTTTAAGTATACAATATATTAGGGAAAATGACAGCTTGTGACTTTTTTCACTTACAAAAGTGGTAGACATGATTGACTGTC